GAAATTTAGAAGTGTGATTTAACATGGTCTGAATTAATATTTTTCCCTGTGCAACCAGATGGCCTAATTGATGGAGAACCTAACGGCATTCATGTCCTTGTCTCTAGAATGTTCATTCTTAACTCACTTCATAATGTCATAGCACAGAAAATGGTGAAAAAAGATAGAATCAGATTTGAAGTCGACAATAGCAATGGGTGTTCTTTATGCTACCTAAACTGATGTCAGAGACTGGGCAGATGAGGAGGAGTGGTAGAGACCTCCACTCCAAGAGGCTTCTGGGCAGGAGGAAGATGATGGTAGTAGTATGGACCCAGGTTCATGCTGATGATGAACAGGACATATCCCAGAAGAAGAAGCAAAGAGCTGGAAAATAATGGAGGATGAGGAACAGGAGGAGGGTAGCAGATGCTCTAGTCCTGAGCGGAAACAGGACTCAGAAGTGGGGAAAACACTACAGCCAACAGTGGACACTACATCACTTGAAAGCCTGGTAGAACCTCCTCCTTCTCCAAGGACCAGGTGCTCCCTTCGTATCTTGGAGCAGAAAGTCAAACAGAGACAGAAAGATTACTCTACTGGCCACCGCAGGCAGTAAGGAGGGGTATGGAAGCTAGGAAGTACAGTGGTACCTCGGGTTAAGTACTTGATTCGTTCCGGAGGTCCGTTCTTAACCTGAAACTGTTCTTAACCTGAAGCACCACTTTAGCTAATGGGGCCTCCCGCTGCCGCCGCGCCGCCAGAGCAAGATTTCTGTTCTGATCCTGAAGCAAAGTTCTTAACCTGAAGCACTATTTCTGGGTTAGCGGAGTGTGTAACCTGAAGTGTATGTAACCTGAAGCGTATTGAACCCGAGGTACCACTGTATCGCAAGGGGGGGTGGAGCAGACACTCTGAGCAGCGTCTGGAGACTGAGGGAGAATAATTCATGGTCTCTCTGTGTATTCGGTTGATTTAAAGAAAAGAACTGGAAGAAGCTCTCCACATCTCAGATTTCAGTAGGCAGCTAGCCCCTTGAGTCGTGACAACTGATAATTCAGTCTGAACTATATTTTGCAAAGTCCAGAGTCTTGTGACCGATATGTATGTACCATTCAAGTTACCTTTAGCAAGGACCTGCCGGCTTAGCTACCTAGGAATATGGATAGCTGCATTGCAATGATCCAGAACATTAGTCCATCTTGTTCGGTGTTGTTTACGCTGATACACAGCGGATCGCTAGGATTTCAGATGAGAGTGTCAGGGATCAAAGCTAAGACCCTCTGCCTGCAAAGTGTGAGATCGACTACTGAGTTATGGCTCTTCCATCTGCAGCCTCCCAGCACGCCTCTCATTGCCTGGGTTTGACATGTCTCCCCTCATTCCCCCTCAGCACAATGTCGTGGGAGAAACCGCCTTCAAGAGGGCTCTGTCTTTTGTCAGAACAGTAACTGCTGTAGCAAGAGAGAAAGGAGAAGTGAGAGGTGTGGGGAGTGGACAAAGTGAAAGGTGGGGAAGGATGAGGAAGAGCCAAAACTCTGTGATAGCATCTGTCTTGAACATAGAAGGTCTCAGGTTCAGTCCCTGGCATCTCCTCATGGGAAAGGGAGAAATAATAACAATAACAATAACAATAACAATAATAATAATAATAATAATAATAATAATAAATTTATTTATACCCCGCCCTTCCCGGTTAAAAAACCGGGCTCAGGGCGGCTAAGAACAAATGTAAACACTTTAAAACAGTTAATTATAAAAGCAGCATAAAATACAGTATAAAAACACGAATAACAATAAAATTCAAAAATCAAAAATCAATTAAATAATCCCCAGGGCTAGCTGGCTGAATTGGTCCTACTTGGGCCAGCGAGGTGGTCAGGGGAGAATTAGCTGTTGGAGTTTCAGAGTGGGCGATCTTCATAAAAGGGAAGGGGGAGGGAAGTGAAGGGAAATAAAAGATCAGGCTGAATTCAAATTAAAATCCAGGCGGAATAGCTCTGCCTTACAGGCCTGACGGAAGGAGGTTAAATCCTGAAGGGCCCTAGTCTCATGGGACAGAGCATTCCACCAGGTCGGAGCCATCACTGAAAAGGCCCTGGCCCTAGTGGAGGATAGTCTGACTTACTTAGGGCCCGGGACCTCTAAACTATGGTTATTCATGGACCTTAAGGTCCTCTGCATACCAGGGCATATCAGGAGAGGCTGTCCCGTAGATACGAGGGCCCTAAGTCACAGAATCCTCTGTCTGAAATCTTGGAGAGCCATTATCATTCGGTGTGGACCAGGGCTTGGCAACCTAAGGCCTATGGGCCACAAGCGGCCCATGAGGGCCATTTAACTGGCCCACAAGCTGCCCCCAAACCGAGCTGCCCGCTTGGTGAGTCCCTGCACACTGCACTAAACTGGCGCAGTGCAGGGACTCGCTTCCGTGGCACTGGAAATCTCGTTTGCGCAGACCCTGGAAATTGTATGCGCGTGCGCAATCCAGCCCTTGGAAGGATCTTCGCTGGAGTTAACCAGCCCAGGTGAGGTAAACCTTGCTGACCCCTGGTGTAGACATTGCTGAACTTGATGGACCAAGTGCCTGAATCTATATAAGGCAGGTTTCTATGCTCCTAAGACAACAAAGGGTAGGGGAATCTATGACCTCTACCTCATATAGGTTTGCTTGCTTATGTAGCCTGGCTAAATAAAATTTTAAAAAAGCCCTCATGCATAGCAACGGATTTATATCTCCAAAATCAGAACCCTTTGTAATTAACTCTGACAAGGATCTGATTCAATTGTCCAATATGCTCTCTTCAGTCTTTAATGAGAAGTGGATAAGAAACAAAAAGCAGTGAGTTAATAAGAAATTAAGGAAAATAGCTGAATGGCCAGGCTTGAGGGGAATTCCGAGAAGTGTCTTGGCTTAGATTGGAAAACCACATGGGGAAAATAAAGGGTAATTAAGAAGCAGATGGGCTGTCTTCCCAGACGAGTACAAGAAGACGGAGAATTTCAGTGTGAGGAATGCAGTGGAATGTGTGTGTGTGTGTGTGTGTGTGTGTGTGTGTGTTGCTTGGAACTGCAGCTGCATAGGAGGTGAGAGGTGTCTCTAATAAATGTTGGCAAAGGAGTGTACTAAGCAAAGTTATTATGCATACAGAAATATGCTCAAGGAAGATGCTCTATCACAGAGAGCCAGAGTGGTGTAGTGGTTAAGAGCGGTGGACTCATAATCTGGTGAACCGGGTTCACTTCCCCGCTCCTCCACATGCAGCTGCTGGGTGACCTTGGGCCAGTCACACTTCTCTGAAGTCTCTCAGCCCCACTCGACCTCACAGAGTGTTTGTTGTGGGGGAGGAAGGGAAAGGAGATTGTTAGTCGCTTTGAGACTCCTTAAGGGGAGTGAAAGGCGGGATATCAAATCCAAATTCTTCTTCTTCTTCTTCTTCTTCTTCTTCTTCTTCTTCTTCTTCTTCTTCTTCTTCTTCTGGCATAGCAAGGGATGCACAGATCTATCAGTTTTGGTTTCTCTCTGTTTCCAAATCATCTTCAAGGACAGCCCCATGGGAAAGCACATTGCAGTAATCCAGTCTGGCAACCGGCAGAGCATGGAGTATAGTGGCCAGGATGTTGTGGCTGGCAAACCAGCCATAGCTGGAAATAGGGTCTCATAGCCACTGAGGTTGCCTGAGTCTCCAGTGACAGTGCTGGATCCAAGAGAATCCCCAAACTACATACCTACTGGGTCTAGGTCCTCTTAAGAAGGGGGCACAGCGCCATCTCCTTCAAGGCATATGATACATACCCCTCCTCCAGTGAAGCAATAATCACTGCCTGGACATAGAATCATAGAATCATAGAATCATAGAATCATAGAGTTGGAATAGACCACAAGGGCCATCATGAAATTTACGGCATGTAATGCCCTAAGAGAAAATATTATGAAAATGATTTATAGGTGGTACATGACCCCAGTCAAGCTTGCAAAAATTTATCATTTGCCTGATAATAAATGCTGGAAATGTAAAGAAAACGAAGGTACATTCTTTCACCTTTGGTGGACGTGCCCAAAGATTAAGGCGTTCTGGGAAATGATCTATAATGAATTGAAAAAGGTATTTAAATATACCTTCCTGAAGAAACCAGAGGCCTTTCTCGTGGGTATTGTCGGCCAAGGGGTGTTAAAGAAGGATAGAACATTTTTTATGTATGCTACAACAGCAGCAAGAATACTCATCGCAAAGTATTGGAAGACACAAGATCTACCCACCTTGGAAGAATGGCAGATGAAGGTGATAGACTACATGGGCCTGGCAGAGATGACGAGCAGAATCCGAAACCAGGGAAGAGAAACAGCGGAAGAAGATTGGAAAAAATTTAAGGACTATCTAAAGAAATATTGTAAAATTAATGAATGTTAAAATGACGCTGGATTAGAAAATATGTGGTTATAAGCGGTAATGGATGAGTTAAAAAGAAAAAGTAAGATTAAAACTAAGTTAAAAATAAGGGAAGGATTTGCTGGAAAATTAATTAGAAATTGGAATACAGAAAGGGGAGGTATGAGGAAGTCGAGAAAGTAAGTTATAAGAAACTAAGGGTTGAATTTATATGTGTTTTTTATATTTTTTTTGTTTGTAATTTTTATTGTATTGTTTTGTTTTGTTTTTGTTGTTATAAATTTTTTTTGAAACTCTAATAAAAAATTTATATATATATATAAAAATAGACCACAAGGGCCATCGAGTCCAACCCCCTGCCAAGCAGGAAACACCATCAGAGCACTCCTGACATATGGTTGTCAAGCCTCTGCTTAAAGACCTCCAAAGAAGGAGACTCCACCACACTCCTTGGCAGCAAATTCCACTGTCGAACAGCTCTTACTGTCAGGAAGTTCTTTGTAATGTTTAGGTGGAATCTTCTTTCTTGTAGTTTGGATCCATTGCTCTGTGTCCGCTTCTCTAGAGCAGCAGAAAACAACCTTTCTCCCTCCTCTATATGACATCCTTTTATATATTATATACATACCCATAGCCTCCTGTGGTTAGATCTAACAAGTGATGATGGGCAAGCATCAAGGAGGCAGGTTATCTGCACTTGTCCACATCCTTGAGATGCAATACAAAACAGTCATCAAGACCAGTGTTTATCAAGGGTTCAGCATACAGAGAGCACCAATGAACAATGCAATGGATGGATATTTTATTGTAAGAGTACTATTGGTATATAAGGCAATACTGGCAGCCCACACTGGGACAAAAGCACAAAACGTACTATGGTTGTTTTGCTGGTTGGCCTTTTTAGTAACCTATCTGTGAGACAGTCTAGCTTGGGATAGCCAACATGATGTCCTTTGGATGCTCTTTGACTACAACTTCTGTCTGGTCAAGGATGAATGGAGCTGTAGTCCAGCAAGATCTGGTGAAAACTACATTAGCTACCCCTGAACTAGGCTAAGAAGTGGTGACTTGGGCAAGACCACCTAGTGAGCTTCACTGAACTTGAAATTTGAAAGCGGGTGCCTCTTATCCAGCTCTACCACTCTGGCTATTGCTCAGCAGATACGCCCTGTAAGAAAACAAAAATTCCTGGTTTCTCATCGTAATGTAACTGGGAACAATTGCTCTAATGCCTCATTACCACTGAATCTGTTGCAATAATGTTTGCTCTCTCAAGGCAAACCTCTTATGCTCTGTAAAGATTTCTAACAAATAGTGGTTCAATCAATGCTAAAAGTTTGCGGGTGCTTTCCGTTAGAAATAAACATTGTGTTGGGGACAAACACTAAACAAATAGTCAAACAGTTGCTAGGGTCAAAAAAACATGTTTCATGACTAGATTCTGATCATTCCAGAGCTAATTTTTGACAGGTCGTTTTTATTTTCATCTCCCTCCTTCCCCATCCCATCTGATCATAATTTAAACTTAAAAGAATAACAACAGACCCTAAAGACCATAGGTAGCAATAAAATGCCTAATGACAGCTTTTCATAGTAGGAGCATATGGTTTATGCCATCTCCGGATGAGAAGGCACAGAACACACACTTTCATGGTCCATTGGATTCATTTGAGCAAGCAGCACAATGACAAGCTGTGATGTGGAATCAAGGTTGGCTATTGCAGAACTTGGCTTTTGCAGAAACTGACTCTAAACTCTAAAAACTCAGCTGAAAGCAAGGCTACTCTGAAACTGGGATGACAATAGCAGCAGCAGGGGAGGAGAAAATATCTCTCAAACCCCTTAATTAATTAAAATATATCCCTTTAAAAAATAATGTTCACCAAGTTGGGTTTCCATTATCTGCTGCATGTCCCCCCCCCCCCTTCACTTCCAATATGTACTGTATATCAAAGATCACATATATACAATTAACAAAAATGTATAAATCAAAGTCGAATGGGTGCTGGGAATGAAAGAGAAAGGAGATACTTTTTACCACATGTGGTGGTCCTGTAAGATAGCAAAAGTTTTCTGGGAAATGATATATAATGAAGAAAATGTTTAAAATTAGTTTTATTTCTTTTTTAATCGGAAGCTTTTGTTTTAGGGATAATTGGTTTAGAGTTTCCTAAAGAAAACAACAACAACAACAACAACAACAACAACAACACACACACACACACACACAACAATAGTTAATATATGCTACAACAGCAGCCAGGATGCTTTGCGCTTAGAGATGGAAAGAAGATTGTGTACCAACCAAGGAGGAGTGGCAGATTAAATTAATGAACTACGCTGAAATGGCAAAGTTTACGGCAGTTATAAGGAACCAAGAGGAGAAAGACTTCATCACAGACTGGGGGGAAATTGTGTGTTATTTGAAATGTCATTGTACACATATAAGTTTGTTAGCAGGGTTAACTTAAACCAAACAGTTAAAATGAAATTCAAGGAGTAATCAAGGATTAACTAATAATTGGAATAATGAAGAAAACGCAATGATGGAAATTAAAATATTATAAGGAACCACAAAAGGGGCAGGAGGAAGTCAAACTATTGATGTTTATTGTAACATTGGATTTGTACTGTTGTTCAAATATCTTTGAAAAAACTGAAAAAATATTTTAAAAAATAATAATCACATGGTATACATGGGAATGATCGTCTTCTCCCCATTGCCTTCTCTTGTTTGCATCAAATAGAACATAAGCCCAACCGTATAATACATTATTAACTCAAAAGTTTCTAACATGATGGAAATACCCATCTCCTTGCTGTAATATTAATACCCCACTATGGGAAAAGCAAAGCCAAACAAGTGTATTTCCTTCTGCCAACATGCAGTTAGATCAATGGCATGAAAACAAACAAAGCAAATGTTGCTAGTAAGAAACATTCAGCACAAGCCTGAATATCAATGGCGTTTACAACCCGAGGGATCATAGAAAAGCGTATTAGCCATGCTGTAGAAAACTGCATAACTTTTTTTCAGAATCCTCCTCAGATAAATCCCATCATTTTGTAACATATAGATGCTTCGTGATGTTTCTGAATAGGATAATTCCCACACTACAATGGAAAGTATGCTCACGTAATGCAAAAACGGCGTTTGGATTCGCAAGCATGGATTGAGCTGGGGTTTGAGGGCTGAATCCTAACGCAAAATTGCTTCCAAATAGGACTGGGGCTGCCTGCTCACTATACTACCAGCTCATTATACTCTTTCCCATGCTAAGCATATATAACTCCTTCAACCATTGCTCATAAGGCTTGGTTTCCAGCCCTTTTATCGCCTTGGTCGCCCATTTCTGCACACATTCCAGCTTGTCAATATCCTTCTTAAACTCTAGTGCCCAAAATTGGATGCAACACCCCAGGTGTGGTTTGATGAAGGAGAAATAGAGCTGTACTCTGACTTCCCTTGATCTGGACACTAGACTTCTGTTTATGCAGCCTAGAATGGCATTGGGCTTTTTTATCTCCTGCATCACTGTTGAATCATGTTAAGCTTGTGGTCTATTAAGGCCCCTACATCCTGAGAGAACTACATTGGCTCCCAGTACGTTTCCGAGCTCAATTCAAAGTGTTGGTGCTGACCTTGAAAGCCCTAAACAGCCTCGACCCAGTATACCCGAAGGAGCATCTCCACCCCCATCATTCAGTCCGGACACTGAGTTCCAGCTCCGAGGGCCTTCTGGCAGTTCCCTCACTGCAAGAAGTGAGGTTACTGGGAACCAGGTAGAGGATCTTCTTGGTGGTGGCATCCGCCCTGTGGAATGCCCTCCCATCAGATGTCAAAGAAATTAACTACTATCTGACGTTTAGAAGACATCTGAAGGCAGCCCTGTTTAGGGAAGTTTTTAATGTTTGATGTTTTACCGTGTTTTTAATATTCTATTGGGAGCCACCTAGATTGGTGGGGTATAAATAAACAAATTATTATTATTATTATTATTATTATTATTATTATTATTATTATTATTATTTCACATGTATTGATCTCAAGCCAGGTCTCCCCCAATCTATATTTCTGCACCTGGTTATTCCTTCCTAAGTGCAGAACCTTAGAATTGTCTCCATTGAAATGCATTTTATAAGTATTCCAAACTGTTAAGGTTATCTTGAATCCCGATTCCACCTTTATGAGGTATAAACTGCCCCTCCCAGAGAGAGAGAGAGAGAGAGAGAGAGAGAGAGAGAGAGAGAGAGAGAGAGAAGTAAAGATAATTGGCTCTGTTGCTTTAAAAATATCTCTGTGTGTTTCTTGAATCAACCTTTCCTTGGAGAATTTGCAAAAAAACACACTGGCTGTGGCAGCAGGGATTTTATCCTTGTTTTCTTGTCATTAATATTGCATTATGGTTAAGCACTGTGCAGCAAGGAATTCAATACCCCCAAGCTCACACTTCTACCACATTTATCTGCAACGTCCTCTTAATTCATATTTCAGATAAGCATATTTATCTTATGGACAGAGCTCTCATCGGGAGTCAACCCCACAAACATGCAGCAGATTGCAGATGGAAAACCTTCTTTGCTTGTTCAGGTGGCTAGCAGCTCAAGGTGGCTGGCGATCGATCAATAAAAACTCATATGAAGTGTATGTATTCTATAAAAATGAACAGTTTGATCGTGATCATCATCATACAGTGGTGCCCCGCAAAACGAATGCCTCGCAAGACGGAAAACCCGCTAGACGAAAGGGTTTTCCGTCGTGGACGCGCTTTGCAAGACGGAGTTCCCTATGGGCTTGCTTCGCAAGACGAAAACGTCTTGCGAGTCTCGCCATTTTTTTCCGCTCCCCCCCCCTTTTTCAAAGCGGCTAAGCTGTTAATAGCCTTTTAACAGCTTAGCCGCTAAGCCGCTAATAGCGCTAAATCGCTAATAGCGCTAATCCGCTTAGCCGCTAATGGGGTTGCTTCGCAAGACGAAAAAACCGCTAGAAGAAAAGAATCGCGGAACGGATTCTTTTCATCTTGCGAGGCACCACTGTACATGTAAAGCAGCAAACTTAAAAGTTGAAGTGTAAATTGGGTCCTCCCTTAAAGAGGGCACGTATTGTGGTGAGACCTGGAAACCTACAACCTCTGTTGTGGGTGGGTACAATTGGTCAGCCACAACACCCGATTGGTAGGTCCCTCGTAGCTGGGTGCAATCTGGCCAATGGGACGCAGTATAAATGGTTTGAGGGACCTATTCATACCCATGTATGTGACCCAGAGCTTCCTTTTTCGGCGCATGCATTCGGAACACCCACCCACCTCTCCCTACTATTAGGGTTTTGCACTTGACCTTGCTATGCCATCGTGTGTCGTTGGGACAGGGGCGCGGCAGGAATTTTCCCCACTTGGCTGATTGGCTGTTGCCATTTGGGTTTTCGCGTGCCGCGTAGCAAAGCGTCACAATTTGTAAGGTTGCGGATAGGCTCTGGTTCAGGTGATAGGGATGGGGGAACGCTCTCGCCATCCCTATGTGAAGGGTATTCTGTTAAAGGAATCCAGGGACTCAATGGTTTGGTCAACCCGTGAGAAGGTGTTGTGCCCGTGCCTGAGTCCAGGGGGACATTTGGGTGGCGGAGATAGCCTGTTCCTGGCTTTCCACTTATCCAGGTGTTTACCATTGGCTGACCTATGCTGGAACCCTGGGTCAGCGCTACCTGCATGGCAGGGAGCTAGTCAAACCAAAGCCTATGCAACCAATCACTTTCTGTAATCAATAAAGTTGTGGCCTAAATTCTGCCAAAAACCAAACTAAAAATTTGAGTCAAGTGTGAATTTATTTAGGGGGGAGGTTTCTGGGTCTGAACACGCAAATGGCAACCTATCATGCTGTGGTATTTGTATGGAGCCCCCGGTCATCTCACGGACTATTGACCCGTACACCACTAATCCGCTGCCACCAACCAGGTTCTCCCTGGTAAATCACTTAGTCTTAATCAGGTTCTTAAGTTAACAATGAAGATTGTAGTTTATTGCAAACACAAATAAACTCTAAATGCATTCGAAACGCTGTTACCCTTTGCCCCCTTAGTCTTATTTTATTCTGTCTCTAACTCTTCTACCTCCCCTCACACAAGAACCAACTGCACTAACTGTCTCTCTATTTCCATCTGTCTGCCAACTG